TGCACTCATCTGCTCACCATAAGGCTGCCATGTGCTTTTGGCATTGTAACAAAAATGGAACACCACAACATGTTTGTTGAGGTTCATTCCTCACCAAGTTAGATTTAGATGGTTCCAGTTTGAGAAAGAGCGGGTATTTAGAAGGATCTTTAGGTTATGGTTGATTGAGATAGATTGAATGAAGTTGAGAGTGTGAGTGAGTAAGAAAAATGAGAAAGTGAGGAGAAGTGAGCAAGTGAGGAAGAGTGAGTGAGTGAGGAGGAGTGAGCACGATTAGGTTTTTCAGATGATGATTAGGGTTTGCCACATGGATAATTGTGCAGCAATGAGTTTCACAGAGTATGGTTTGAGGATTTCACAGCTAATTGTCATGAATTTTTGAAAGGTTTCAACAGGACCTGGGCCCGGGGGCAGTGCTCCAGCAAGCTGGTCCTCACATGGTTGGCAGCATTAGACCCATTTTTTCATGACAAGTCAATTCATTAGTCTTGAAACCTGAATATAGAAAACACAAAGTTTGGAAAAAACTGGCTAGCCATCTTCCTGTATTGTCAATGGCATACTGGCTGGGGTGTGGCTGAATTGTACCACAGGATGTGCCACCAAGACCTAGTAGCTTTTACTCAAGATGAGCAGTGGGGCTGTTAAAAACCATGTAACCAGCGGAGTGAGGTACCTACCAGTATGTAGGCCTCCGTGTGAGACGTACTAAAGAACATCATGGAGATGATGAGCAATGGTGTCAGTCCCACATTGCTGTGGAGCATCACAGAACGCACTTTGCCGCTGTCGAGCCAAAAATAAAGTATTTTCTTCCGGTATCCAATGAGTGTGAGGAGTATTGAAGGGGCACATCTGTGTTGGTCATAATGGTTTATCTGGCTCATCTGTCTTGTTTGGAATGGGAGGAACAATCCCACAGCAAGGTGTTACATTTTTTTTTTTCTTTTTCACTTCTGTTGTCTTGTTACTTGAATGCATAAAAATCAGGTGAAGGGCTCATTACACAATTTGGCTCATCATGTGGATGCTTTTGATTTCCGCTGGCTAGGTGGCTGAAGTTGAAAGTGCCTTATGTATGATTTCATGTCTGAATTTATGGTATTTACACAACGGCATAGTTTAACTTTTTGGCAGGGGGTTGTCAACAAAGTTTTATGTATTGTGACAGGTCCCTGCGGGAAAATCATATGTGAAGGGTCTTGATGATTTTACGTCCGAATTTTAAAAACCATAACTGAGAGGTGTTTTTCTGCTAGATCGGGATTTCTCCAACTTGTTTGAACCTCCGACTTACCTCCCCGGTGTTTCTTCTCCTTGTCCGGAGCTACTTTCAACCTTTCACACACATCTATCACTTGTGAGGCTTCTTCGCTTTTTTTTAAAGCAAAAAAACTTCCGCTGGGGAAATGCGATTTGAAGGGTTAACCGAAGCGCAGCTATCAGGTTACCCTGTGTTACCATTTTTTTACAATATTTTCTTGCAGGCCGCTTCGGTCACGCTATATCGCGTCTCATAAGAATAATCTTGCAGATTGATTTCCCCGTAGTTGATCTTCAATCTGTTGTAAATACAATCCAGTGCGGGTTGTGTTATCTTATCTTGTTATTTATTTATGTTTTGCTGAGATAGATATTCAGATCGGGGAGTCAATCGTTGGGCTATCCAGGGGGAGGAGATCAGGCTGGTGGGGAGGGTCGGAGAGGACAAACATGGTTACACTTTGAAACATGAAGTGTTTTTTACTGTTTTTTATAGTGTCTGCGCAAACTGTGAGTTCTTGCTTTCCCCTGATCTGAGTCACTGTGCTTCATTGATCGGTGCTGGAGGAATGCCTTACTCTTCGCCTCGTCTTCGCTGGATGTACACTTGGCAGGGTGAACATGGCCTGGTCTCGCTGCGGTGGTGTTTCCGTTTTTCTTTTCCCGCGAGGACAGGAGCTCAACAACCAAAGTCGAGAACACATAGACATCAGCATCACGGAAGGAAAAGAGAAAAAAAGCACTCTTCCCAAGATTATTATGTCTCCGCTTCTCTGCGCTTCCCTCATCGTCATCATCTGTGTCGCCCGAATACCCTTCGTCTTATTCGCTGCCGGCCAGGACTCCCGGCCACCGCCTGCTGCCGTCCGCTCCCTCAACATCCTGCAAGGTAACGACGACGGCTGTAGGTCCTTCTCCTCTTCTGATCTCTCTGTCGCTGTTCTCCACCTTCAAATGCACGCCAACTTTGATACTGGGCTCCTGTGCCAACATAACAGGGGCGGAAGGCAACATCAGAACGTTGCATCACGTCTTGAAGCAGCGAGGATATCAGGTCAACCCCCTAAGAGCCCTGCAAAAAAAATGATTCTCTGCTATACTGAGGCTTCCTTTGTCATTTCTTTTGAGAGATTCATTTACTGTAGACGGTGATTTCTGCTCCCGTGCGAGATAAAAGCGGGACGGGGTCGTTGTCCAAGGAGCGGTTCGACGCTTTGACCAAGCCTGGAGAGTACGACTTGGTGCCTGCTGGCGCGCCGGGTACAGGCCATGACCCTGCCGATCGTGTGTTACTCCGCTAATGACACACACTTAAACATAAACACTCAGGGTTCTATAAAACTGCTTTTCTTTTTTTATAGCCCAGATTTGGTATGTTAACGGGTTTCCGGTTGATGGAATTCGCTTCGGACTCGATACCTTGGCGCCCCAGATATTCCATGGAAAGCCGGAGCTGATCATCACGGGACCGAATGTTGGCAGTAAGTGTGTCTGGATTGACAGCCCGCCCCCACTGGCTAGTCTGACATTGCACACAGAAAACACGGGCTTGCAGGACCGGTTTTCGGGGACCTTGGGGGCGGCGGCGTTCGGCGCGAAGCACGGGGTGCCGGCAATAGCCGTGTCGGTGGATGACGGCACCCGGCACAGTTACCAGGACAGAAGGGCGGATGACTTTGGCGAGATCTATGCCAATGCCACGGTGCGGGTGGTGGAGGAGCTGCTGATGAAAGGCAGCGACGAATATCTGCCGGCGGGATGTGTCTTGAACATCAATCTCCAACGCGCAGGGCCAGCAACCAGCTGCAAAACCCCTCAAGACTATCGCTTCGTACTCTCCTCCATCTTCGGCTTCAATCATGCCTCCGGCTTCACCAATTGCGGCTCCCATCGGCTCCCCGCCGAAAATCAGGTCCTCCACACCTCCCCCGGCTGTTGGGCCTCCGTCTCCCTCATCCAGGCCGACCATCTCCTCGACGCCTCTCCCTCCCAGAAACAAGCCCTCCTCGATCGCACGCCTCATTTCTTCTCTTGCCCAGGTTCTCTCTCCCTATTTCTCGGCTCCCAGTATGCTTTGGTATTGATGTCTTCTCCCTCTCTCCTCTTCAACTACACAGACCAAGAAGCCGGAAAAACGCTCAACGAACCTAGTATCTTTGGCGAAGGAATCCAGTTCATCAAAGTGCGTCCACTCGTTCTATTTCTCTCACTGTATCTATTGCTTGAACAACGCAAATAACTCATTGAAGATCTGTTTTTGGCTGGACCCTTGGTTAAAAAACCATAAAAGTCTCTTCAGTTCTGGTGTAAACTTTTACCCTGTGATTAGGTTACAGTCAAAGAGTCATTGATTTGCATGGTCACGCGTGGGGCTGTGTGTAGACATCCCTTTTTATGTTCTTTCCATTGTTCCAGGGGTTTTCACTTGAACTCAAAATTATTTAAATAAAACCTCAACACTTGGTTTTTTAATCGGCCCTCAGATTGGCCACCATTGAAGCGCCTTTTTCAAAACTATCAGAATTCAAAGAAAAAACAAACCCCTAAGTGAAATTCAAAAAATATTTTTGTCATTGGTGCCTTATTCTACCTGCTGAAGGGACCACAAGTTGAACACCTGTTTCCCCTTTTGTGGTGAGAAATACCCTTCTTACAGCTTCTACTACACATTAAGTCTTTGCTCCACCACAGCACAATGAGAATTTGTGATGTTCAAGATATTATGTTATGCTGAAAGATGGGATGAATTCATTGTTGAGAAAGTCGTGAAACGTTAGCAGATGCAGCTGAAGAATGCTCTAGTATTGCTTAGTTCTGAATGATTATAGTCTGGTTTGAGGTGAATAAGTGATTGTACCACCATCCTCAAAAGCTCGGTCTCATCAAGATTCCTTATTCAGATCACAAAACTACAGTATTCAAAAACTCTCAATCTCCTCCATCCAATTTTCTGGAAGAAGTAATGTAAAAAACCTACATCAACTTCTCCCAATATCAGTAACTAAACGTTCATTCTTCTCTCCCTTAGAACCATGCCAATCACACACCTTCACTTATAAGGCCTTATCATTTGACCAAAATCTAACTCAGCTTCCATTACTGTTTTTTAGATTCCCCTTTCTCCATGTTTGCTTGATGTCCAATTAAACCTTTTTATTCTCCTTGTTTCCCCATGTTTCCTTTCTCTTATCAGAAATTTCTCACATTCAACCTTCCTTGGATTCTTCTTCAGTCAGAATCCCATCTTTATTTATTTTTATGTCTTGTGGTATGACCCATTTCCTTCTTGTCTCACTTGTCATTCTCAAGCTCACTTGCTTTGTTTTTCTCAGTTTGGTTATATTTCCAGTAATCTATCATCATTTGCACATGATTAGCAGTCAAAGTGTGCTATGTGCATACAATGCATCTACTTGAGGTTGTGTATTATTCACTTATGTAATATGCCTCTATGTGGATTATGCAATACAAAAAAAATCTGAACTATGGAATATGCAAAATTCTATTGTGTCATATGCAATATCCATCTATGCAATATGCACTCTCAAGTATAGACTAACTTCAAACTGATCTACTTCAGGGTCTCCTATCCTCCCACTGTGGATTAAGGAGGTGTGTTGAAATGTTGTAATTCACAGTGACATGAAAATATATCTGCCTGAGAAGCTTAAATTCTGTGAGCTCATGTATCCAAAAGAGATCAAGCCATACTTCCAAAAATCAACACATCAGGCACAGACTTGGTAGCCTAGTTGGTAAAGGCAGCACTTCTAGTATAATTTCTTAGGCTCTAGCTAAGTTCACTGGTTCAACTCCTGCCCAAGTTAATCTTTCTTTCTGAATTTCTGAAAAATGCATTATGAATTTTCAACGTTCATTTCCAGAAAAAAATAAGAATTCATTTCCAGAGAGCAACAAAGAAGGGTTGAATTGACCGTGACAAGAATGAGGGGAGGAACAATGACACATGTAGAAGTAAAGGTAAACTATAGTCCAAACCAGGCTGGGTCAATACATGCAGAATATCTGCTCTCTTGTCTTGTGGTGTAATGCTTGCCAATCAGATTGATCAGGATTGGAACTGAAAAAGGCTAGAAAATTCACGGCATAGGATAGATCAGATCTGGAACCAAGAGCCATATAATTGAGAGAACCAATTTATGACTGAAAAGTCAGGGGATTGACCAATGGAGCATTTGATGTGACTGGGTTGGAATTGATCAGTGGGGTGTACATATTTATATGGGCAGACTGGAATTCTTGGGAATATTTTGGCAAGGATATGATCAGTTAGAAGATGTTGAGAAATATGGATTTGAGCAGAGGATTGTTCTATTTTTATTCAAACAATCTTGCTGGGCTTATCAAACCACTTGATATTGAGGGAATTTTTGATGTTGTGGAGAAGGAGAGAGAGATGAAATTCAGAGGTGGAGAATATAACTATGTCATTGTCCACATGGATCCAGATGATGACCATGAATTGATATTTTTTTGAAAGTGGTCAAGACATGATTTGACTTTGTCACAATTGAAATCCCACTGTGCAAGGAGAGCATTAAAGTGTTTCCATCATCACGGGCTGGCCTGGCGAGTACTGTTGTAGTGTTCCATTTGTGTTACACCCCCACAAAATGGTTAATGAGAAATGGTGAACAGCAACATTTCTTGCTACCACTTTTGGCCATTGTGTTGAACGTTGGACAGGGATCAAATGTTTTTACAAATGTGGAAAAAAAAGTTGCTTGAACCCATACTGACCCACATGCAAAATTGTAATGGCTAGACTTATATCACATGATAGAATGGTCGGAAACAATTGGTTTCATAAATTTTAACAGTCAAGCTAAGGACAACAAAGGACTTTTATTGGATCTGATAAAATGTTTGAATATGCTAACTATCATGCTGAATTGATGAGGTTTGGTTGATAACAAATTAGAAAACAAACATATTGTGATGAAGAAAAGAGAAAAGAATAGGAAGCTTCAGGACAACACTCCAATCACAACATATTGATTTCTTAAATTCACTTGTGAACAACTGATGATGGCTGCTATGAAACTAAGACAGCCGTGTATCTTGTTGTTGGTCGTATTTCAGTTTGTCTTGCTTCTCGTCTCAATGGATTTCCTCGGATTTGCCCATGGGAGCAATTGGAGCATTTCCTCGAATCTGACCATTGTTCCTGCGTCACTCCCCAAGCGAAACATGCACCAATTTCAAAAGGTGGTCTGCAGGATGTTCCTAAAAAACATTGGGACCAACCTGCATGTTCAGTAGAAGAATGTCGTGGCAATGGTTGAACACGTTTTCCGAAACCTCCCTGTGCGCCCGTGGTGTATGCGATTGTGGCCAGAATGATTTTTTTTTTTTCAGGAAAATAAAAAATCAAGAGGGTTGCGTGTGCAATGGTACAGGCCCTTATTTCAGATACTTGAACTTCTCTTGATCAGGCCTGGCATCTTCCCAGTTCCCCAGGCCGAGATGGATGTAGCGGGGGATGGGAAGTGGGAAGTGAGGTGTGGGGTTTAGAAAGAGGTTGAAGTCAAGAGGCGTAGTGAGAAGAGAGATCAGAGCGATCTGGAGCGCCAAGAGCCACACCAAGCGATCAACCAACCTGATCACCAACGTCGACTACCCTGCGACTGGCCTTCCCACTTGACGATCGATTCCATCCATCTCCCTCGATACAGTCAGTCCTCCCCCACACCCAGCGGCGTGGACTTGGCTCCCCTCATTGCCACCGCTGTCACCCTACTCAGTCTGGCTGCATCTCAATTCTAGTGTCTCTCGCCCAGCTTAAGAAGTCTCGCCCAGCTCTAGAAGGTCTCATCCAGCAGCCTGTACGTCTTCGCTGGAACTTCATCACACAAACACATTCAGTTCCATCCTACACACAATTCAAGACTCACCTCAATCTGCTTTGTCTGTCTGTATTCGTTTGTCGTTTTGAAAAAACAGCTCCTCCGACAAAACCCCAACATACCAATGAGCCCCTATCCGCAACCACGCCCTGCATCTCCCACACCCTCCAGGAACAAAGAACCCGTCAAATTCAGTACGCTCGATCATCCGCCCCGTGCCAATCTGCTCCCTCCTGCGGCCCTGCTCTCTCTCCTATGTCTCGCTTTCCTATGCCTCGTGTTCGTCTGTTTTAGGCATGCCGGATGGATTGTGTACGTTCCTCTTCTCTCCCCCTCTCCTCTCTTCTCAAAGAAAGAATCAACTAAATAAGTCACACATTATTTTATGGATGAATAGTAAGGCGAGGAAAAAGATTGGCAAACTGATTCAAAAACAAACTGCGAAACTGTCGGATTATTTTCAAGAATTCATATACAACCGTCACGGCAGGATCAAGCTGATAGATGATGACCAAGTGGAAGGGCCGACGAGTCTATCTGGATCAAGAGTATCATTAAGTGCCGAGCGACTGCAACCGCTCGATCTCTCTCACCATCATCAACTGCCGTCTCAGCTCGCAACAGTTTCTCGTCTGCAGGATGATGACCAAGAAGAAGATGACGACGAGGAAGATAATGAAGTCCTTCCTCCAGTGCGCTACTCGAAAAAGTGACGGACTACTAGAACCTTATCCACGCTTCCACACTCATCAAAGAAACAACCCCAAGTCGAGACTAGTCCGAAACTCAGAAACCACCTCGCATATATTTCGAAGGCTTGTTTCTTCCCACCACCACCACCACCTCCCCCTCCAAAAATAAAATCGCATTTTTTTTTTGTATTGTTGGTTCGGGAAGATCTAGACCGATTTAACCATCTTACCGTATCACTAATCGCTTCCCATCCTCGTTGGGATTTTTTTTTTTTCCTTCTTTCTATTACCGCTCCATTCACCCGTATCCTCGCTATGCTCATATTCAAACACATGCTCAGCCCTAAGAAGGCTTCATATAAAACACTCAGGAACACTACATTATTATATACTCCTTTGTAAATCAAGCTCCTGACCCATATCGTCGATTAAATTTCATTTGAACAATCACAAACACATGTTTTTTTTTCTCACTCAACTGTCAATTGAAGCTCCTGCATATATTCTTTTCTGTATCTTATCTAGTTGTTTCCTTTTTTTTTTTTTCTTTTCTTGCTTCCCTGTTCTCCCGATCCCCAATTTTTTACAGACCCTTTGGGTTGTTGTTGTTTTTCTTGTTGGTTTTCATTTTGGGGCCTCTCAATCTCATTTTTTTTTTTATTCTATCATTCATTACCGACACCTTTTGTTGTTTTTTTTGGCCGCTATCGTAGAGATGTAAGCGCGAGGGAGCCGAGCTAGAAAGCCCAGTGTATCCGACCAGGTTTTTTTTTTCTTTTTTGAAACAGACGAGAGCTGGCAGAGTTGCCCGTCCCACTGTGGCAGCTGTAGTATCATCACAGCACGCACAGGCTCGAGCGAAGAAATACGCTCTCGTGCGGCTTTCTTCCCAACCATTGCGTTTTGCTTGCAACACTAGTGGGCACCCGCCCGGCTGTGCAAGGATGACCGCCGACATCCACGTGTGCAGGTCAAACTCACTCGACGACGTACCGTATTAAGCCGAGCAGTCAACTGCGACTGCTATTCAGGCTTTTGCAGCGTATTCAAGAAAAAATTGGATCCTGTCAGCGTGGGCGTCTTCTAATGGTTAGGAAATCTCGTTGTGGTTTCGGATTCATTGTATCAGCGTATCCAACAATTCCGTGAAAATGTCGGTTCGATTCCGGCCGCCCACATCCGCTTTTGCATGTTAACGGACAGATCTTTTGTGCGGTGTCAACTGGTCTCTCAACCATAAGCACAGGTGTCTTGTTGGGAAAAGACCTCCATTTCTTGTTACAGCATTTCCAACAGAGCTTGCGGACACAACACCCCTTTTCTTTGTTATTTTTTTTCTCTTTCAGCCACTTAAAATAGCCGGTGCCATTGACCATGTAGGCTAATGGTGAGGTGCATTTTTTTAATCATATTTTATTTTATTTTTGGGATTTAGGTTTCAAGACCTGCAAGGAGTCATTTTTTGATCTTTTTTATTATTATTGAGATTTAGGTCTCAAGACCTGTTGTACCAATTGACTCCTGGTGCAAAATTGGGTCTGATGTCACTGATCAGAACATGAAACTACAGGCTGATGAAGTGTGCCCCCAGGACCCAGAAGATTGCTTAATCCAGGGTGTCTGTCCTGGTGTTAGCCTCCTTGATACCAGGAACTAGATTCTTCTAGCTACAAGTTCTGAAAAATCAGCATGGATGGATAGATAGGGTTTCATAAGGGTTTTTGGATGATTAATCCAAAGGATAAGGGGCTATAAAGATCAATAAAAGAAATGCACAAAAAGTGCCACAAAAGGGTATGATGAAGAGGGGCCTCCAAGCAGGCCAGGTGTGGATGTGGATGGAGCCCTCAAAAGTCTAGGACCGGAAAAAATAGTTTCTATACAGACTGGGGCCTGAATATCATGTTAACCATTCCCAGTAATATGGGGTGGGGAATCTAGCAGTAAATGGACTGACACTAATATTCCTGCCAAGATGATTCCAGGTATGGGGCACAGGATCAGTTGAGGAGGTATATTGGAGGCTTGGATACAAAATGGAAGGCAACTAATATTAGATTGGTGGAAAGCACCAAGTAGGAGTCTTAATGGTTGTTGTCACGTGTCGAACTTCAGGCTCAGCTTTGAACCAAATGCTGCTTCAAATAGCTCGTGCTTTTCGAACCAAACATCTACATATCATAAATCGACGCGCAACACTCAACCAATGAGAGCTCGACATTCTCAAATCAAATGCAAACAAGCATTTTGATCTTTGACTTTTCGCAAAGGATTACTTTCAAAGTTTACTCAGCTATCACGCTCAGTAACTCCTTCCTTCCATTTCCGGCTAGCATGA